TTTTTTTTTTTTTTTTTTTGGTGTTTTCTGCGACCTTGTCTTCCAAATCGCTGACTCTATCCTCTGCTTCATGTAGCCTGTTGATTCCGTCTAGTTCATTCTTTATTTCAGATGCTGTGTTCTTCATTTTTGACTGGTTTGTTTGTTTTCCATGGCCTTTTTTATGCTTACAGCGTTTTTGTTTAAGTTCTCACCAAGTTCATCCATTCTTTTCCTACGTTTCTTCGGAATCCTTATAACCATTGTCTTGAACTCTGTGTCTGGTAGATTGTTTGCCTCTGTTTCATTTAGCTCTTTTTCTGAGGATTTCTCCTCTTCTTTCATTTGTAGCATGTTTCTTTGTCACCCCGTTTTGGTTTCATCTCTGTATTTATTTCTGTGTATTAGGTAGATCTGCTATGTCTCCCAGTCTTGGTAGGGTGGCCTTATGTAGTAAGTGTCATGTGGGACTAAATGGCGCAGCCTCTGATCACCTGGGCCGGGTGCTCCAGGAATTGCCCCTTGTGTGGGTTATGTGAGCCCTCCTGTTGTGCTTGAGTCTTAACTGCTGTTGGCCTGTACACGGTCAACAATCTTGACTGTGAAGATTGTTCAACAACAGTGTACACGCTGCTGTGTGGGAACTGACCCCGCAAAGTGGAATTCGCCCCAGTAGGGCCTGGTGTCTAACAAGATCTGTTTTTGGGTGTGCTGCTTGTGGAGCCCATCGAGTTGTGCTCTGATGTGGCCTGAAGCACACCACTGGGTGTGTTGGTTCTGGGGCCTCTTGGGAGGGACTCTGGTGCAGGTCAGTGTCAGGTGCTGCCTGTGACTGGCCCTGGGCTTCCTTGCTATCTGGGTGATCTGCTGAGATTATTTAATGGTTCAATCCTCAGTGTCTCCCGTCTTTAAGGTGGGGATGCTACAGTAAAATCTCCTAGGATGGTTGTGAAAGTCAAATAAGGTAATTATTGAAAAGTGTTTGTTGCCTAGCACAGTAAATGCCAAAGTATGATTATTTTCGTTAGCTTCTCCTTACTGGCGTAGGCCAGTCCTCTGCAGACTTTTAGGCATAGGAAAAAAGTGTATAACCTCATTTCTACCCACATACGATGATATTTGTATTTTTATGGAATCTAAAAGTCTTTGTAACATATAAAGGGTTTTGTAAATCTTTCTAGTCCCAAGGGATAACTCTGAATTAAATGTTTCCTTGTCAGAGGATTATTTACTAAAACAAAATTACTCATCTTAGGGATTCTAAAATCTTTTGAACCCTCTGATCAGGCTTATTTTATAATTAATGCTAGGTGAACATCAGTTAAAACTCTGAGTCTTTTTGAAGTCTCCTTAATAAAAAGTATCATGTGTAAACTTCAAATTCCTAGTGTTTTACAATAAATTCTTTAGTGTCATATAATTTGAGCAGTTATTTCATTTTTTTATTAGTATAAGTTGATGTATTTGGTAGAGTCCTAGGTTCTCCATAAAAGGGACTTTGAGTCATGGGTTCTTATTCTGGGTGGTAGGTTGGCTTCAAGATCTAAACTCCCTAAAATTATATGTTAGATTTTATATATATGTATTTATGTTAATTTTTCTAGAGAGAGGATCCATAGCTTTCCCCATCTTCCCAAAGGGTTCCATTACCCTGAAAGGTTAAGGACTGACCCAATCCATCTCCCTTCGTCTGTACATTTAATTTATAGAGGAGAAAAGCTGACATACTGAAGGTGGCAGCAAAGTCTAGATTATTCATATTGCACTAAGGCATCTCTTGTGCATGGTATTTGTGGACCATGACTAAGCTTTGTTTAAATATATAATATTTTCAGATTTTAAAGTGTCATTCTTAGACCGTTTTCTAAAGTTTCTGGCAAAATAAGCATTACCCTAATACATTGAATTGGCCAAAGCTTGACCAGTATTAGGCATGCTCCTGAATTGGTAAAGATTATTTTTACTCAATTTCTTTGTCTTTATCACCTGTGTAGTGTGTGAATTCTGTGATGTCTTTAACATCTATATAAAAAATTTGCCTGACAATTTCTCAAGAAAAGAACTGGAAGACGGGGGTAGAAAGAGAGTCAGAATGGAATGTTTTGTCTTTCCTGTCCTTACTAAGGTTTCTTTTCCCTCACAGTTGATAAGATACTATGATTTATTTTGAAGCTATAACAGTGTTATTTCTCTCTAGGCTAGCCAAGGTTCCTTTCGGGTAGAATATGATACCTTTGGTGAACTCAAGGTCCCAAATGACAAATATTATGGTGCCCAGACTGTGAGATCTACAATGAACTTTAAGATTGGAGGTGTGACGGAACGCATGCCAGTAAGTGGACTGACCGTGGAAATATTGGCTTAATTTGGATGAACTAGGCTTTCTTCAAATGAGTCACTATATTTTATAAATAAAATTTTAGAGTTAAAATGTAGTTATTCGAGACCTTTGTGAGTAATAAGATGTTTCTTTCATTAAAATGTGCAAGAACTTTTCAAATACTGTTATTTTGAGTTGTGACTAAATATTTTGGATTTTTATTTGATAGAACTAAGTGATTTGTCTTTTCATTTCTGCTGGGATTTTTCAGATTTTTTTTACTAGGATTTTATAGTTTGTAAGCATTTTTAATTTCAGTACTTAAATTTTATTTATTTATTTTACCAATTAACATTTTAGGGTCATACTGTTACTTAAGTTAGTGTTTTATGTACAGCTTCTGCACGTGCATGAAATAATAATCATACATTTTCATTCTTAACTAAAATTGCAAATTCGAGATATTTTTCTGATTAATTTTAGATTCCAGTCATTAAGGCTTTTGGCATCTTGAAGCGAGCAGCTGCTGAAGTCAACCAGGATTATGGTCTCGATCCAAAGATTGCTAATGCAATAATGAAGGCGGCAGACGAGGTAGGAGGTGATAAATGTGTTTACCTCATGGCCTCCGACCTGCGTCATCCAGTGGTTGATGATAAGCTCTGGCAGGAGGAGAGGGGCACCATGGATGCTTGAGTTAATGACTCTCAGGGCAGGGTGACAGCATTATTGTTTGGTGAGGATATTAATTTGGTGCTTAAAATATTGTGGCAAAATTTGTGGATGATTGTATATCTTTTATTTTTGATTCTCTTGACTTTTTCTGTTATATAGTTTAAAAGAAAACTTCTTGAAGAGACATTGTTTAAATATCTGTATTTTATTTCTTATTTCATATATACATGATTCATTTAGAAACTAGTTGGTTATTTGATAATACGTATGGAGGAAGTAATTTCACTAATCCTCTAATACATAATCTGAAGGAAGCAATCAAAGACAACAGCTTAAAAACTATATCCATAATGTTGTTCATTGCAGTAACATTTATAATAACAAGTAAACTATTCAAGTATAATATCTGCTTAAATAAGTTATATTGTGATGCCGTGGAAAGTTAGTTTTTTTAAAGAATGTCATAGAACAAAGCCTACCATGTAAGAAGCAGTGGGGGGAAAGGTAGCAAAGCATATATATTTTATGATCCTAGTTTTGTTTAGAAAAAAATTAACAGAAAACATGTTTTGTGCAAATGCTAATAGTCATTATTTCTGAGGGCTGAAACTATAATGACTAATATACTTTTCTTAGTTCTCAAAATTTTCTACACTGATCTCTATTATTTTTATATAACTAGGAAAGTAGTTTTAGAGTGAACCAATTGTTTAAGGTAAATAGATTTCTAAAGTGCAGGCTGATTTTTTAAAATATTCATCTTTATTATAGAAAGTATTACAGATGTCCCCTTTCCCCCCATT